ATTCCTAAAGGAGACTTTAACTTTTACCAAAGTAATTTTTGGTAAGATACTTGTATTTTTACTCAAGTATCACTTTGTGGTACTTTATACAACATTGGTCAGGATTAACAAGTAGAGAACCATGTCAGCGGTCTGGTTGTTTTTTTATGGCATTGAAAAAAGACACATTTATTTGTGTGTATATGTATTTACGGTAATTTGTTTGTGTAATATCAGTAAATATCGGATATCGATAACAGCTGAAAATTTTATATCGGTGCATCAGTAGGACTAGGCTCAGGATGCTGGCGAGCCTTCCASATCAGGCTGGAGGTGTTGAGGTGAGGTCATCGGATCAGGTGAAACACTTGGTAGCTGAATCTGGAGTAGGGCTGCCACGATTAGTCTACTAGTCAGGATTATGTCAACTATTAAAATCGTCAATGACTAATTTAATAGTCAATGCAAGTTTTTTTTTTCTAACTTTGTATTTTTATTTTTTATAGTCGACTAATCACCGAAATAATTGTTTGTGGCAGCCCTAATTAGCACTACTGCGCATGTGTGTCAAGGACAGAAAGGCAGACGCAGCAGTGGAAGGTGCCGCAGCAGTTTGGAGAGAAAAACAAAGTTAGAAAAAAAAAAAAAAAAACATGACGCATCAACTATTAAATTAGTCGACTAATCATGGCAGCCCTAATCTGGAGACCACTTCTTCTGCAGGGGAGGGGGCTGGGGTCACTTCACGCAGACATTACCCCTGCAGCATCGCTCCAGATGTTCCACCTCCGAACTGTAACTGGTGAACCTGACTGCCCTGCTGTTCTTCCTGTTTACGCCTGACTCAAGTGAACAAACAAACAAACTGCTGAAAAACTCAAACTGGGTTGTTTCTTGGCCGACTGATATGAACCAAAACAGCTACGTTAAAAACACTTTCAAACCTTCAGATTGTATGTTGTTCTGTAAATAATCCTCCATTACTTTTCAGATATATTTACAGCAATATTATGAAACTCCACCCTGAAAATCTCCAGGCTGCACAGGAAGTGTTACAGCTAACTGCTGCTGCCTCTATTCTTTCATCTAAATAACCAGAGTTCTATATGAAACATGAAGTGGATGGCAGCGTAAAGGTGCAGAAGAAGAGCAGCTCGTTCTTCCTGTCAGAACTAAATTTCTCCAAGTTGAGGTTGTTCACAAAAATATTAAATTATAATCTCTTCAGCGTTATTTCAAAATGACCATAATGTCCTGTAATAAAGACAGAAGTGGACTATAGTCAGAGGTGCACATAACCAGTGCGCAGGRGCGCTTGCGCAATCAAAAAAGGAAAAAGCGCACCAGATGGGACGTCATAAATCTCCCTTGCGTACCTAAGATTGTACCTGATTGTCTGTCAAAACAACAGCTAGCAGGGCTCTAGAGTGAGACCAGTGTGGTTGCAAACGTGACCAGAATCCAGCCACACTGGTGTGAATGGATCGTTGTTCGGTGTGCCACAGCGGGACCCTGATATAAGGATTAAATGGACACTGCCTTCAACAAARCAGATGAAGTCCASAMCCGTTTTGTCCAATCAGAGCAGAGAAGGGCAGGACCTTCAGTGAGAGCACGTTTGTTTGGAGCAGCTGGCCAGCTCGAGTCGACTCGAGCTGCTGCAGTGATCAGTCACATCTCCTCCTGCACTTTGCTCCTGAACTACCAGACTTTGGTCTGTAAAACATAACTTTATATTAAATATATGTTCAGAATGTTGTTATTGAACAGATCTGTCCAACTCTGTGTGACTAAACTCTCCTCCTGAGAGACTGCTGTATGAGCGCGTCGCTGCACACAGGCTGTCTGTGAGATTCACTGAGTTTTTCTAATTAAACCACATTAACTAACAGAACATTTGTTTGTCCCATATTAAAGCAAAGAGGATTCTCTTTTTAACACCCCAGTCAAAAACATTATATATACTGTATAT